TTTTTTTTTTTTTTTTTTTTTTTTTTTTTTTTTTTTTTTTTTTTTTTTTGGTAGACGTTTAAGTCATTATCTCCCAGGTCTAACTGCATGTTCTCGTGGCTTTTTTCTATTTATGGTACTGAGGTGCTGTTGAAAGAACTGATTTAGGTATCTTGTAATATGTATCTTGTATCTTTCTCTTTATGGATACATAATATCTCCAAGTATTTCTTTTGCTGTTTTTTTTCTTCACATGGTTTTGGACACTATCCAAGTATTTTTATAAAGTCCAGTACTTTTATAAACTGTAGTGTCTATCTCTGCTCAGATGGAAGAAAATATCATTTTAATGAGTTGCCTCATCTTAATTATCTTTAGATATCTTGTTTCCAAATGTTGTAAATCTTAAGTTGTCCCAATTTCTTGACAACTTTCTCTCCTTTTTTCTTTCATCTTGTGACCTTTTCAGTAGTTATTTTATGCTATAGAAACGTGACCCATATATTTGCTGTTTCTCTAAGCAGTTAGAAGGTTTTCAGATAATAATAACAGTAATTAAGGCTATAAAACTTGCAGCAATACATTGCAAAGTATGCAGCATATAATGCAATTATGTTGAATATTTCAGTCTCAGCATATAAAAGATCTACAGCAGCTACCTATAACCTTAAAACCAGACTTCTCAAATGTCATTCTAAGGTGTGTCAAGCACTTTAGAAATTCTCAAAAATAATCATAACTGTTAGGCAGCTGTGCCTTATCATCAATAGATTTCTAATAACTCTGAATGCTATGTGCTGAGTGTCTTTCGGGTGATGCTCTAGTTCTATAACTTTTCCTGGGGTGATTTCTTGGTTCTTTTCTCTGTATTCCACATAGAGGAATATACCAGATTAAAGTGAAATGATGTTCAGAAACCAATCTAAATCTCCCACACTTATCCTACTATTCTTAAAAGTCTATCTTTTTATCTCTGCTTGTTTGCTTCGGGGATTTTGTTGGTTTGTTTTTCAAGAGCTTTTGGCAGTGGCAAGCTGTACTGTGTAAGCCCAAGATAATACACAGGTTCTGGCTTTCCCTCATCAGATGATGGTCCTCCAGCATTTCTCCTGAAGAGACAGCATAAGGTGAGGTAATTAGAGCCAAGATACTACTCATAAATTCCATTTTTCTTCTTGAAGCCCACTTAAGCAGTAAGCAGAGATAGGAAAAAAATATTTCTAACTGGAGATTTCAGAATTAATATTTTTCATTAAAATCTATGCAGAGCTCACCCAGGAGCTGTAGTGGCAAAACACTAACAGCAGCTTTGCCTTTATGTCTTCCAATTGCCTCCTAGAAATTTCCAGTTCCCTGAACAGGAGAAAGCTGTCAGCCTGTAGCATGTGTTCACCTGGAGGAGATATACCAACCAGGGAAAAAAAATACAGAGTCCCACAGTTCATACTGTGTGGTAACATGCAATAGGCTGGTGACTCCTTTGAGCTCTGACATCCTTGCGTTGTTCTGGAGCTGTTCTTAATGACTTTCTCTGTTCTCTTCCCATCAGACTTAGGTTTCCTGATTCTGAAGGATTATTTTTTTTTGGATCCTCCAAAGCTTTGGTCAGTCACTGGAAACTCCACTGTGGTTGAAGTAGGATGGATGACAAATTACTAGACATTAACAAGTTCCCATCCATTTCCTTTAGTGAACATGGTTATTTTAGATTGTTGTGAGAAATACGAATGTCTGGATTCTTTTTCTATATATCCTGATGGTCTAAACAATGCAATAAACTCAGCTCTTCTGCCATTACATAATCAGTTATTTCCAAGAACTTGAGTTCCCTTTATAAATATCTCCTAAGCCTCTCCCTACTCCTCACCCCAGTTATTTTGGCTTTAGCACACTCTGGTTGTACCTTTTTGTGAAGGAGCAGCACACATAACCATGCTACACCAGGACTGACTGGTCATCACTTATTAATCAGCTGCTTCTTTTTATGTTTGTTTGTGTATTTGGTTGAGTTCAGTTTTGATTTTGTGGGGGTTTTTTTAACACACTTTTCAGGTGGAAGGCTAAAACCAAGCAGTTGCTGTTTAGTTCACAGTAGCCACCTTTTCTCAATAGAGGATGTCTTTCTACTCCATATCTGATCTTTACAAAAATTGCTAGATCTAAGAATATCTAACACCTACCTCAGCTATCACTTTTATCTGGAACTAATCAATTGCTTTAAAAGGATTAAAGGATG